AGGGTACTGAAGGAGTGAATATGATCACAACAGTTTGCATGAAACCCTCTGCTTATACACACATGTAAACACACACATACACACACTTAGATATAGATAGATAGATAGATAGATAGATAGATAGATAGATAGATAGATAAAATAAAATTCCAAGAATGGAATAGGTTGGCTCTATTAGACAGACTCCAGCAGAAGTGAAGATCGATTCCAAAGAAAACAAAAACCTCCCTGCAAATCAAGCATCTGAATTAAATAATCCACCCCTGCCACTACTTAATGCATTCAGCCCAACATCCAACACAGTCAAAGGATGACCTGTACTACAAGGAAAGAAACACTTCTCTGTCTGTGAGCTTACATTCTACAATACTGGCTCATGAATCATTTCACACATAGGAAAACAAATGCAAGACAATAAATTTTTGAAAGCATTCCATTCTTCCAGTAGCTATGGTTTCTAAAGTCGAGCAGACACTGTCTCTAAGGAACAGAATGTGTGTGTGTGTGTGTGTGTGTGTGTGTGTCAGAGAGACAAGGAGACAGAGACAGCGAGACAGAGTGGGGGAAAGGGAAAGGATATAATCTTACATACTAAAAATTCATCCAGGTAGAATCTACTTAATTTTACAAGCTAAAGTGAACTGAGAACATGACTTGCCTAAGACTGCCCCCAGGGACTGGTGTCATATTTAAGATTCAAGCTCTGCTCACTGGCCTCGGGTCAATGCAGTGTCTTGCCCAACACAAGCAAGAGAAGAGTTACTGCACTTCTACTAGAAATACACACAAATGACTCAACATTTCTGCTCCTCTGCACCAGATCTGCAAAATACACCAAAAACATTGCATGCATGGGGTCACGAAAGTGCCAAACTCAGAGGCCACAAAAGCACCATGCTCATGGAAGAGTCACAAATGTGGTACATTTAGAGGAGCTACAAAAGGCGCTGAACAAAAATAAATAAATAAATAAATAGATAAATAGACAGATAGATAGATAGATAGATAAATGAATGAATAAATAAATAAGGCACTGAACTCACGGGGAAGGGGTTATAAAAGCACTGCACTCAAAAGGCTTACAACTAAATTTGGCAAAAAGCAAAGGACCATTTTCTATATAAATGAACCAAGTTGGGGAGATGTTAATACCAAACTACAGAGAAAAACCCTGTCTCAAAAAAAAAAAAAATCAAAACAACCAACAGAACAGAACACTGTATGATCCCACTGCTATGAAAGGCCCAGAAAGGCAAACCACAGGAGCAACTGGCTGTCAAGACTATGGCAGAAACCAAGAGTGAATACTATTGAATATGGCCTGACAGCAGAGGTGTTTAAAGGGTAGACTGTAGCAAAGTTTTATTAACAATCACTGAGTTAAAGACTTAAATATTGGTAAAATTGGGGTTGGAGAGACTACTCCAGTACCAGTACTGGCTGCTTTCCTGATTCAGTTCCCAAAACCCACATGGTGGTTCACGACCTTCTGGAACTCCAGAATCAGGGGATCCAATGGCTTTTTCTGGCCTCCAAAAGAACCAGGCACACACCTGGTGCAGACATACAAGCAGTCAAGGCACTCATACATATAAAAGAAAAATAAAGGGGGGAAAGGGTAAGCTTTCCAGTATATAAACTATACCTGCTTAAAGAGAAGGAGGTGAGGGAGAGCATAGACACACACAATTACAGAGGGAGAAAATGTGCGAACATTTTCTGAAGGCAAAGGCACTCTGAATAAGGATCACTTAACATCCTGTGGTAAGAGGCATGTAGGCCAAACAGGACGGTAGCACACACCTTAACTCAGAAGCTCCTCCAGAGAGGCTGGCAGCGAGTTCTCCATTTGTGGCCTTCACCTTTACGAGTGTATCCTGGAGAAAACATCGCAGTGGCTGTATTCACAGCCCTGGAATGATTCTGGGAATCTCCTCAGTCAATTCTGCTAACTAGAGAATTAGTCAAGAGACTAAGAAAAATCTTTAAGGTGGATAAATATATGTATACATTACTGCTTTTACAAGGAACTATAATTTTTGTATTATAGGTTCTATCAAGAAAGTAAGAATAAGTCCCCAAGCCAAAAAGGAGCAGGATAAAGAGGAACCACCCCTCCCTGAATCAACAGCTATAAGAATGACAGTAATGGTGATGGTTTGGTATTTAATTCAATTTTAAAAGGTAAAACATTTGGGGAGCTCTTTTTTTCTCTCTCTCTCCATCTTCAACTTAATTATACAAGAATAAAGATAGTGTTAAGATTCCTCTGTAAAAATCCTGAGCTCTGGGAGACAGTTAGGTGAGCAGAACATTCTTTATTTTGATTTTGGAACTGAAAAATTATGTTCTAAGGCAACATATAAAGATTTGAAGTGATCTACATTTCAAGTCTGGGGCAAAATTAAACTTATGGATAACTGCTTTAAATATACCTTAACTGGGCTGGAGAGATGGCTCAGAGGTTAAGAGCACTGGCTGTTCTTCCAAAGGTCTTATGTTCAATTCCCAGCAACCACTTGATGGCTCATAACCATCTATAATGAGATCTGGTGCCCTCTTCTGGCATGCAGGACTATGTGCAGGCAGAATAAATAACAGACAGACAGATAGATAGATAGACAGACAGACAGACATTTAACTAGGAAAAACTCTCTGAGGAAAACTCTAACTTCCCCTCACTGAACAAGAATGCTCTAATACAACCCTTGCTCTAAATATGGCCTGCTTTCCCAGCTTCTGCCTGGATCCCTGTAACAGACTATGGCAAGCACATGCTGAGGAAAGGGCTGCTGTAAATGTGGTCGCTGTGCAAAAGAAGATCACACCTGACCCACATACTCAAGAGATTTGCAGGCTCTGTGTTAAGCACCTCTCCATGGTCCAATTGACTTTTTTGCTTGCCCTCCCTCTGATTTAACACATGGAATACAAATCAAAGTATGCGGGTATACTGTGGGGATTAGTCTTCCAGAGCAGTTAACAGATTAAAACTGAGCTATGACCACTGTTTCACAGATGTTCTTTCTTGTCTTCCTTTTTAAGTGTTATCTTTTTTTTGCCAACTGTACAGTTCATAAAAAGAATAATAATTATACTTTGGTTTTAATTATGCAGGATGACAAATCTTAAGACTGTACTCAGAAACTATGGTGACAGAGTAAGCTGAAGGTCCATGACTTGTGGGACATCGTTAACAAGAGAAAAACACCTAATGTACATAACAACACAGGGTCTGCTTCCCCCATCCTGGCCCCTGGTAAGAGAACATCTTCAAGGTCTGCTTAAGAGCACAACTGGCCATTTAACTTAGTCTGCAGGTGGCTGGGGCTAGTTAAGTATTCTTGTCAGGCTGCTAGTTCTGAAACACACCTCATCCTGTCTTTGGGTAGACTGATCTCCAGGTGTCAGAGGCTGAACATGGGATGAATCAGTCAACAGTCTAAAAACAAAGAGACAAAACCTCTTCTCAGTAAGCCTCTAGTAAACAGAATACACACAAGTTGTTCCTGCCAGAGGACAGAGAAGAGGAGCAAACCAACACAAAGTTTTAAGTTTCTCCTTCGTGGTAAAAGCTTAGTAATCTGACATTGTTTTTGACTTGCTCAGCATCAAAAACTAATTCAGTTGTGCAGAAGGCCACACGCGTTTTAATCAAACAAGTCACAGGTTCCATGACTGAATCTCATGACTAGGAAAACATGGAAAAAGCCACTGTCTAGGAAGAGATTCCAGCCCTGAAAATGACTGATTGACAGTGAGAAACTGTGACTACATTTAACTAAGCATAGAAGACATAATCACTGATGATAGTGTGTGCCATTCTCTACTCTATTCCTTCAACGACTCCCCTACAACAACTATTCCTACGACTATGGTAGAATAAATGTAGCTCTAGAACTTTGGACTAAACACAGAACTCATCACACTAGGTAAGAACTGTTAATTTCTTTCTTGGAAACTGGTCCCCAGCCGTGCAAGCAAGAGTTTTTGCCAGACAACTTAACGATGAACCTTAACTGCTCCCACGCAACTCAGTCAATGTGATGGAGGGAGTCAGTAAGTTAGTGACCTCACAGGTGCCTTGTTTTCTATCCAACATGTCTTACGTATACAATGTTCCTCCATCTACAAATTCCCCACCTGTAATCCGTCTTCCCACTCACTTCCTAGCTAATGATTTCACAGAAGTAATTTAACCTCTCAGTTCACTCACTTAGATAGCATGATTAATAACATACTCTTCTAAGGATTTCTGGGCACACTGAAGGAGCTGCAGAGCCTTACACTATGCCAGCACTCATTCTGAGTTCCTTTTGATCCCTGCCCTATTCTCATTCTAGAAGTCTGGTTCAACAGACACAAAATATGCTGTTATTTTTTTCCCCAGTCTCTTACTTTGTCCCACTATGCCACATGGTCTAAGTCCCGCATGCCTATCTTCAAGTCTGGCACAATTCCCTTTCCACTTGAAATGGGACGCTGATAAAATGATCATAAATTGTTACTTTATATACTGCTAGTACTCATGAGCTTCTTGCCTACCAGTTGCTGGGGGGGGTGGGGTGGGATGAGTCTCATGTATCCCGTGATGGCCTCAAACTCACTATGTAGTATGTTACTGAGGATGATTTTGATTTCTGTTCCTACTAGCCTGCTGGTATGTGAAGTACTGGGTCGATACTAGAGCTTTGTACATGCTAGGTAAGTATCCCACCAACTTAGCTACAAACCCAGCCCCAGGTGCTCGATTCCAAGCATTCCTACATTTACTGTAGTTAGACAGAAGAGTGCAAGAGCTGACCACCCATCAGGGACAGTGCTGGGAATGATGGGATTGCTACAACTATGTGCCTCCTAAGTAAAAAAAAAAAAAAAAAAAAAAAAAAAAAAAGACACCATTCAGAACATACTAGACACAGTTACAAACATTGTAGGTCATGAAGAGCCATGCAAACTCAGCTCACTTTATAAATTGAAATTTACAAAAATAAAATTACCTAAAATTAAGCCCACCATTGTACTTAAATATCCGGTTCCACTGCCCAGGTTAAGAAAAGATAATCCTGGTTGAAGTTTCAAAGCTTCCATAACTTCGGAATAAATGCAAGGTGCTGACAAGTGAATGTTCCCGTGCTTCCAGGCTAAGTCTTTGTACGCATTGTCCCGGTAGCCTTCCAGATAGTAATCTCCGCGGTCAATGGCTCTGAACGCTTGCTCTACTCTTTCAGTTCGGATGTACTGAGCTTCTTTAAGGTTATCAATTAAGTCATCATTATCTTCCCCAGCACTCACAGCTCCTCCCATGACAGTATTCAAATCAAATCATAAGTTAAAATGTAACGGATTAGTAGAAATGGCTTCCAATAATGTGTGCTTTTTCTTTTTAATATTGAACTTGATTTCCAAAAATAAATTAAACCTGGAAAAGAGTAAAAATAAACAAGTTTAAATTAATGTGTGTCATAATATTTAACTACCATTTCCCAAGAATACATTCTGTTCCAGCCACAGTGTTAAATGACTTAAATATACTATCTTATTTACTTCTTGTAACAACCACGGAAGTTGGAAAACTTGGGCTAAGAATTTAAGTTTACTAGTACTGGTCCTATATTGTGACCATTGAGTCACATACCCAGAGGTTAACAGATCATAATTACATGCAACTTAAAATTCAGTTATCAGCTTCATCAGATTTCACGCACTTAACCTGCGGGAGCAGTTACAGGACTACCAGGCGGCCGCCACATGAGACAGTGAGGGTTTGGAGAAGGAGACTGCTGCCAACTTAGTACCATTCCTGATTCAAAGACCATGCTCTGAGTCACTTAGCCACACTTACAGTAAGAGTGATCCTGCCTTAATGACTTAAAATTCTTGACCTTAGAAGCCAATAATTTTACACGGTTTACATTTTAAATATTTTATGTTTATATTACCTAAACACTAATATAAATGCAAAGACAAAAAGAGCCAGGCACAACGACATGGCATTCCTGTAATTCCAACATTAAGAAAGCAAAGGCAAGAGGTTCATGATCTCAAGACCAGCATGTACTCTCAAATTTAAAAAGCCAGATTCCCTGGTCTAATTCATGTACATGCACAAACACAGTGACTGATTTATTTGGTAAATTTTGTTATAAAAAATGAGTCCACAACTTTCATTAATAAGTTTAATAGTTAAGCACTGGAACGACACACACACAAAACAAGAAAAAATAATACTCCTGGAATGCTCACTTGCATCTGGCATGTCTAGATGGCATAAAGGCAACAGCAGATTGACCTCTCTCCATTGCATTAACACACTACAAAGTAAAAGAGTATATTCTCTGTGTGAAGGATCTGGAGTTATTGAACATGGCTATGAGCCTCCATCACATCCAAACTCCTGGGATCCTCAGCCAGGCTAGCCAGTACTGTTATCTGGTGGGCCTACTGAGCCATCTCCAGCCCCACACTTCACACTCTTTATGAGAACAAGGCAAGTATTAATAAACAACTACCACTGGCACAAACCTTCACAATGCTTTATTTCTAAACATCACAATAAGACAATGAGGAAAGCAGGCCATCAGAATGTTCACCTTTAAGAGAGAAATCACAGTAAAGGATAGAACGATGTACCTCAAAGGAGCACAGAAGAACGCAAAATGAGACGTGGAACTGAAGACAACTTCCTTAAAGGCATACATGGTGAGAGGGATTATGGACTGGGGTACTCAATCACAAGAATAAGACTGTTGAAAAATTATCTACAGCTGGCACTCTCCAGCACCTTAACAATCTTTCACTCTAGAACAGTGATTTCTTCTCCCCTTTCTGGCACTGATCCCTTTCCATGGTCTCACCAAATTTACAGACCTTTTCCTACTGAAAAAGCAAACAAATCAGCATTTTTAAACACAACTTGAGAAGGTTCTCAAACCCTGGGAGATCCACTTCTAATTTTAAATAATGTACCATATGCAACACTGAGCTAATCAAGAGATTTTAACAAGGAAGAGACAGGTTCATCTCCATTTTAAAAATACTTCCAGGGTGGGTCAATCAGGCCTGAGATCAAGCACTTCAGGAGATGGAGAAAGCATTATAAAACGAAAAGGTGGTGCATGGATGGGAAACTTGACATGCCGGGACGCTTTCTTCATGCTCTAGTAGGAGATAAGAGTATCAGATCTGAACAAAAAAAGCTAAAAGGAAACCCAGGAAAGGCACATACAGTGATCTTCCTTTATCTGTTGTGGAATTTTCTTTTCCCGTGATTTGTTGTTATTACCCATCATCAACTATGGTTTGAAAAATTAAGTGGAGAATTCCAGAAATAAGCAATTCACAGGTTTTAACTTGTATCCCCTTCCCAAACAGTCTAATGAAATTCAATATGGCTTGTGGTCCAACCCAGTCATGGTGTAAACCCTGCCTGTGCCCAGCTATTAACACGGTATCTGCATCTGGCATCACTGTTGTGGCCCGAAAACCACTTGTACTAGAGTCACCCTAATGTATTAGTCAAAAGGCACATAAAAATTCCTACTGTCATCTTCCTTCATCTCATCATGTATAAGCATCACCTCACATTATCGTAACACTACATAGAGATAATCATTTCAGCCTTAAGGATGTGCATAACTGGGGACTGAAAGGCTGGAAAAAATACTCCAAGCAGATGGTAACCAAAAGAGAGCAAAGAGCCAGACATGTTGGTGCATGCCTGTAATGCCAGCACTCAGGAGGATCACAAGTCAAATCAAGTATGTTCTTGAGCGTAATGGAGTAAAAGCAAACTCAGTTGGCAAGAGAAATCCTAGAAAAATCACAAGTACTTGAAAATGGAACAGTAAATGTTCCCAAACCACCCACAGTCAAAGAACTCAAGGAATTTTTTTTTTTTTTAGTATCTTCAAAAAACTGAAACTGAAGCCAGGAAGTAGTAGTCCCTGCCTTTAATTGCAGTACTCAGGAGGCAGAGGTAGGTGAATCTCTGAGGTTCAAGGCCAGAATGGTCTACAAAGTGAGTTCCAGAGCAGTTAGGGATACACAAAGAAACTCTGTCTCAAAAAAAAAAAAAAAAAGAAAGAAAGAAAGAAATTGACACTGAAAAAAAAATCAACATATCAAGCCTACAGGATGCATCAAGTTAGAACCAAGCCTTGTGGTACAGTTATCAAGTTACTCAAGAGGCTGAAGCCCAGGGATCACATGTTGGATTATACCTTGGGCTATCCTAGACTACTAATTAAGTTCAAGACCAACATGGACAACATAGATGCCAGGGTCATGGTATATGTCTATAATCCCAACATGTGGCAGGCAGAAGAGGATCAGAGGCTACAGTCATCTAGAGCAGAGTAGGCTCGAAGCCATGCTGGGCTATGTGAGACCTTCCCTCAAAACTGAAAGTGGGAGCAGAGGAGCGGGAGAAGGCTGAGATAAAGCTCTTGTCCAGCATGTTCAATCCTCCAGTATGGCTCAGGAAGTCCATAATGGAAGAAATATCCAGTGGCCTAAGTTCTGGAGTCGGGGTACGTTGGAGGCTAGTCTCAGACCACACTGCTTAATTATGATACTTAAACCTTAACACTCATGTTAGGACATGAAGTCCCTCTCCCCAATGTGGCTGTATTGAACAAAGCCTCTTTTCCTCCACTTCAGTATTAACTTGGCTTTTAACTGGTCTGTTTAAGATGGGTGGCCCACACTGTCCTCTTAGGACTGTGAGAGCACACACCCTGGCTGCCCGAGCAAAAGAACTATCAATCACTCTGCCAAATTACTACTGGTATTTATGCCAACACCAGCTATTCTGAACATGTATCTACTGCTGTGAGGAGACACCATGACCAAGGCAATTTATAAACTAAAGCATTTAATTGGGGGCTTGTACAGTTTCAGAAAGTTGGTCCAAGAACATCATAGTGTAAAGCAGAGCAGCAGGCAGCCATGGCACTGAAGCACTACCAAAGAACACATCTGAGAAAGAAAGAGAGGGAGAGACAGAGTCAAACAGACAGAGACACAGAGCCAGACCGGGCTTAGCATAGGCTTTTGAAAACTCAAAGCCCCTCCAACAAGACCACACCTCCTAATCCTTCCCAAACAGTTCCATTCACTGAGGACAAAGCATTCTAACATAGGCATGTATGAGGGCCATACTCACTCAAACCACCCTGAATATGGAGCCTCAGCCAGCAGTTTCAAATAGCTTATACCAGACTTACACCAGCTGCTACCACAATCCTTGGAGAACTCTAAACTCCTACAATTCCTATGTAGGTCTGAGTGGAGGCACTTCCCCTGATAACCTAGCAAAGGGTTAATATTGCTGTTGAAGACAGGAACCCAAAGCCTCATTTGCATGTGAGGTTTGCAGTAACTAGTGCAAACAACAAACACCTCACCACCACCCCCCCTTGACTCCCACCCCTGCTGCAGGAGCAAGCCACTGAGACTGACTTAAAAAGTTGGCTGGGAGCTACATCCTGTGCTGCCTTTCCTCCTGTTGCAACATAAGGCCCTGTAACAGATTGCTCCTCAGAGGCCTCTTCTTACCTACTTTCCTCGAAGTGGCTGGTATAAAAAGGCAGCATGTATTTTCTGTAAGCAGGCAAGGCCTCACATGAAAGCACTGAGACACCAACCCAGGCACAAACCCTTCCACCTACAGTTTGTCCTGCCCGCTGAGTGTTCTGGGACCAGAGCCTAGCATCACTTTGAGCAGGACCAGAGACTTCGCCCAGCACCTGATGAGAGCAGATCCAGAGCCACACAGCCAAACAGCATGCAGAGCTCGGAGAGTCTTGCTGATGAGGGAAAGGGAGGATCAGAGAAACAAGAGGGGTCAAGGATACCATTAGAACAAGGCACATGAATCAACTGACCAGGACTCCTGGGGACTCACAGATCAGGGAGCCTGCAGGGGTCTGGCCTAGGTCCTCTGCATATATGTTATGGCTGAGAAGCTTTAGTATTCTTGTGGGATTCCCAATGAGGGTGGGGGTGGAGCCGTCTCTGACTTTTTGCCTGCTTGTGGGATGCTTCTCCTCCCACTGGATTACCTGGTCCAGCCTTGATGTAACAGTTTGTGTCTGGTCTTAGTGGAGCTTGTTATGCCATGTTTGGTCCATGCCCCTGGGAGGCCGGCTCTTTTGAGAGGAGGGAGAGAATAAAATTAAAAATAAAAAGAAAAAAATGAAAAGAAAAAGGAAGAGGCATCAGACAACAGAGCAGCAGTGCAGTGGTGCAACAAACAGCCTACCTGACAGTCTAAGAGGCAGCTGCACAGTTCAGTAAGGGCTACAACGGGAACAAGAGGAATATGCAAAGCTGAGGTTAAAGAACAGAGGTTCTTAAAGGGGAGAGGACCACAGGCCTTGACTGCTAGAGCTGCTGGGAACAATAGAATGCAAACATCCT